CCTTTTCATTCTCACCTATTATCCCTCACTGGTGCTCCTCCAGCGTATACCGTCAGCGTAGGCAAGGTTAACATTCTATTATCATCCATTGAAAAAAAAAGACATCGTGACTTGCCTTACTGAAATGTAGAACAGACATGGCTAAATATTCTCCCTTACTTGCACAGTATCTTAATAATATATTCAATAAGTTACTTATTTTATTACGCTAATAAACAATTTTATAGGATGGCAACGAAGTTCATATCTGGTGTTAATTAATTAATATATATTTTTTTTGTACATTATATAAAATAAGGCATTGACATGCGAATTGGTACAAGTTACGAGTATAAAGCCTGATAAACTGTTTCGTAAATAAATAAATAAAATAAATTCCACATCTAATTAATATTAGTTTAATTTCAATACTGTTTTCAATCTTGACAAAATTATAATATGGGAATAAATCGTTTCGATTAGAAGATATTTTTTTTTAAATTGGAACAGATTTCATGAAGTAAAACGCAACATACAAAAAATAAATTACAGTAACGTAATTGAGAACTTACTTATTGAAGTCGTATAAAGAAACATTTGCTGAACTTGATGTAATTTTCAAAAAATTTTGTTCTAACGCTATCTCGTCTACTGACATTTTTTTTATCAATTTAGAATGACAAACAAGCTGACGGCCTACCTGTTGAAAAGTGGTAACCGTCGCCTATAGACATAAGCAGTAACATGGACATAATAGAGTATATGTTGCGCTCATGACACCCACCACGCGTTGCCATTCCTAAGTTGTTATTTCTCTGTACTCTATAAATTCACTTCCATATCTCACCCTTCAAACCGAAACACAACCATGTAAACACAACTGCTTTATGGTAGAAACTCGAATAGGACTAAGGTATCTAAGCAAACAACTTTTATACAAAGTCTCTCTCTGGTGAATATATAAATGAAATTTGGGAATACCAAAGGTGAATGAATGAATGAATAAAAATTTATTTCAATAATAATAATGAAAAGATAATGCAATAGGTCATATACACCTATTGCATTATCTTTTCAAAACTGAAACCCTTTCCTCTCTTGTTGATATTTTAGGAAAAAGTACTGAGACACCGTCCCCTCTTACGTGAGATTTGTTTGTGAGAATTTGACTCCGTTAAAAATGAGATTCTATTATATTGGCATTTTAAAATCATACAATAAATGGACCGTCCTAAAGTTACTTTTCTATTATTTATTATTTCACTATCGGCCGATACTATGATTCGAGATGTAATAGCATAGCTGTATAAATAGTACATTTATTTATGTATATTATAATGTATAGAATTAGATGTACCTAATCATAAATTAGTGAATATATGTATTTTTGATAGAACATTAAAACAAGCGATAATGTTGCAAAACAGGAACAAGATTGTAAAACATCGTTGTGCACAGCATTAAATAATTATAAATTGTTAGAACGAACTTGACATACATACATAGAGACGATTACAAAGACCGTTGTTATTTCTGAACACAAAAGAATGGTAACATGAGTGTGTATTACATTACTACAACAATTAAATATCGATAAAGATACAACAACGGAACCGTTTATATATTATAATACATTATGTATTTTTAAGCGATTTAAAATTTACAATGATCTCAAAATGCTTGTATTTTGTGTTGTAATGGATGGTTATTATTCTTTTCTTGGGGGATTAAAAAGCCTTTTACATAACCCGTTATACTGCGAAGTCCTTGATTATGTCGATAACGATATCACGCATTAACTGTCCACTGTTAAACAAGGCTTCCTTTTTGGAGGGTTTTGTCAACACACTTGAGAGGTGGGTTGCCAACCGCAGTTAGGCTTTGGTGATGTTTTAAAAGGTCGTCTATTCCTTGATTATTAAGTTTCCTAAGTCGCCTCTTATGCCACCCACGGGAAAGGAAGGGGTGGCCTTTTCTATATTGGGACCACACGGCATTTCTTATTAGTATAATATTATATTATTTGTACTTGGGACGTTAAAAGTGATGTTCACTATACGGGAAGCCTATTACATAGACATTGCTGCTTTTCCTGCGTAGCAAAAACTTAGTGGTCATTCATTATGTTTTCATTAGATAAATAAGATTTTACATTTTAGTGACAATAGAAGCTGTTTTTGTGAGATTTTTTGTAAAGTAAAATTTTCTTTTGAGTTTAATTTTTAGCTCTATTATTAAAGAATTAAATAAATTTGACGTTTCAACTTGTGTACTATGAGTGTTTTGGCAGCTGATATGAAAATAATTTTCTGTTATTAACATGACAGTACTAAGAAATTGAGTGTATGACTAAGAAGTGACCGTTAATGATAATGATTTATCATGATAAAAGATTATAATATAATTGTAAAGTAAAGCAGTCGCCAAGAGAGTCATGCAAGCATGTGTGTCTATGCAAATATATATTTATGATTCACCTGACGTGTCACACACAGGTATTGTCAGTGCACATCATATATTGTTTAAAATAGAAATCTATTTTAGCGTTATAACAGAAAAGCAAAATATTTAAAAAAATAGAATGAATACATATTATAAAGATTTTTTTATCAGATTGTGTATGTATGTCAAAATTCTGATACAGAGGTATTAAAAAATAAAATTTAGGTAATTATTAATAATAATTTTGTATACCTACTTCGTTTCTATTTAGTGTGATATCATTTACTGTAATCTTATTGGTAAGTAGATTAAAAATATTTAGGTATGTACTAGAAGATACAAAATTCTTCAATACATTAGTTTGTAATTCAAATTTGTTTAAATTTAATTAAATTGCCAGAAAATTCCATTAAAAGAAAATTGATTAATAATATTAAAAGAAAATTATTAACGTGTAAGTTTCCGCTCATCATTAAAAATATAAAAGTTTAATTCAACTAATGTATAGCTTAAGTGAAAAAACATTGAATTGTGAAAGATTTTTTTAAATTTTATTATATGCCAAAAAATATAACTTTTTTATTGAATTGAGATCGATTTTTTTTTGTAATTTACTTAGATATACTTTTTTTATATATATTCTATATATTTTATAGTTTCTGTAAAAAGCATTATATGCTTATACTTGATTTGTCACTATAGTAGTATAAAAAAGCATTACTTTAGTTATGTCTATGGGACCCCAACAGATAAAATCAATAGGGCTTATCTAACAAATATCAATGATAAGTAGAAGTCTACGGTTTTCATTATATTTATATATATAAATTTAATATAAATTTATCATTATAATCATACAGGTATATATGATACATGTATAATTTTATAGTTATATATGATTCTAACTAGGTGACCGTTACCATCAAAACAACAGAGGGGAAAACTTTCTTTGAAATATTTACGTTAAAGACAAAATATTACATTTTTATACGAAAGTCAAGCCAATGACCTGACATTATAAATTATTTTTATCTATCGCGGAAACTGAGGAGCTGTCACTGTTGAACAGAAAAGAATTTTATAATGCTAATAGATTTTACCTGCGACTTCGTCCGCGTCACTGGTATAAAAATAACCTAAAACCTTTTCTTTCGTATATAGTATGTGTATATTAAATTTCATAGTGATTCGCTAAGCGGTTAAGGTGTTATAAGAGAACAAATAAACTCACTTTAACGTTTATAACATTAGTAAGAACTTAGAACCTATAATGTTCAGGGTATGAACTCTTTAAAGTAAACGTTATATCGTCTTTGTACACTCAGCGATTGAAGCGAAACGGCGTTGAACTTACGACTCGCTTAATAAGATTATCGCGAGGATTGGTTGAGTATCGTAAAATATCAAAATTAGATGAATAAATGGAAGTTATTCTGTATGCAACGATGCACAAGGATTATAGAAATCTCCATGTGTTGACTTTTCATGTTAATCGTACATGTTTGTAATATTTCACCAAATCCTTTAATCCTTTATAATGTAATCCGTAAACGAAGTCATGCAAAGGCAGAAGAGGCACAACCAATTTTAATTGAATATTGCCAGAATAAAAAAAAATATGCTTACAATTATAATCTCTGTTGAATGGATTCGTAACAATTTATGTGCACACATTTCGCCGAGCATATTTGAATCAAAACACGACGTGGAGCGAACATACCGCTATCAGTTGGGTTAATTAGTTTATATTAGATTACTACATATATAGAATCTCAGCTAGATTAAGTTATCAGTTTGTAAACTTAACGTTTTATAATGAGAACTTATGCTTAAATTCTTTAATATATATATATATATATATATATATATATATATACATAATATTAACATATAAGATAGCCTGTATGTATAGAACAAACAGTTAGTTATTATTTAAAATAATAATCTTTTTTATTATAAATTATTATTCATCCATTAATTATGATTTAGATCTTAAATGGATAAATAATAATTCATAATAATATATGTATATTATTTATAGCTATATAATTATATATATATATTTATTTATATATATAATTTATAATATATTTATAGATTAAAAACACCTTATTTAATTCATAAAAAAAACTTTATTATAATGCAATTATTAAAAATACTTTTATTCACTGCTTATATTGGAATTAAAATAAAAAAAAAATTATAATCCTGTCAGTATTTATATGTCGATAGTAACTGTTTTCATCTACATATACGAACATACATTTTCATGAACAAGAACAATACACAGTCATGTACTTTATAATCGATCTTTATATATAAATAAACAGCACAGTCGATATTTTCGTTCTGTGTCGTTTGTGTTAAGTCCTGGTGAAGCTTACAAGAAATACCGTTTTGGTTAATTACACATTCACGGCCGGAGACATGCACATAACATAATGCAATTTCAAATAAAAAAAACATGTTAATATTCAATTTTACTACTTAAGGAGGGTCGAGGTATTTAAGATTTCTCTTAATAATAATCTCTCACTTCGTATTTGTACATTGTTTAGGTATAAGAATATTTTACTGACCTGCCAGTAAGGAGACGTATGCGCACACGCAGCTGGGCGGGCGGCCGGCGACTGGGCGGACGGTGTTTGCGCAACTAGTGGGCCGGTTTAAAATACGAGAGACGACGCCGCGACGATTGAGCTACGATACAAAGGTATACCTACTAACATCTGAAAGTTTATAAACATGTTTGAGTGTATAGATTGTAGGATGTTTAAATGTTTGTATGTTCGTATCTTAATCGCGCTTTAATATTTAGACAGATTTAAATGAAAGTTAGTGTATATATGGACCATCTGGAAAACTCGTACGACGTTTTAAATACACTATCGAGGTCTAATGCGATGCGATTGCAGGTAAATAGCACCTATCTACAGAGGCGAACTAAGCTAGTTAGAGGCCTGGGGCGGCAAAGCTAAATAAAGTCCTCAGTTTAAGAAATAGATGTTATTTTAAAAGCTTTTCTTTCAGTTCACGTTTATATGTATATTTTTTTATATTTATTGAATTAAAATCAGTATGTGGTTCTGGTATATAATGAATGAACCCTTTCTTTTTCTATAGGCGTCGTAAGAGGCGTTTATGGGAACGTAATGGTCAAGGGATGGGCAGCAGCGTCCCTCTTGAAACATTAGCAAAGCTTAACTGAGGTTGGCATTCCCCTTATCAAGGGAGAGGCTATCCAGCAGCGGACAGTTAATGGCTTATAAGTAAAAAAGAGAAAGTAGAAAATAAAGTTAAATTCTTGTAAGTAAAATTTTAATGAAACTTAAATAAGCATATATAGAATTGTCGTTTGGAGTCCCTCATTATCAGAGCTCTACACGTTAGGCCGCCACTTCCTATAAAACTGATTTTTATTGTCAACATTTCCTACTTGTATGATGTATTTTTTATGTATAATTTCCAAAAATTTTTTAAATAATTGCTACCTAACAGCGTCAAAATGGCTCGACAAATGTTAATGAAAATTAGTGTACGGATTAATTACCTCCTTAAATTAATGTATATATTTTTCAACGTAATGTATACTAACAATTCGCTATAGTTTTGTGTAAGTATTGGTCGGAGTATTTCACTTTTTGAAAATAAAATATAGCTTTTGTTACTCCCTGATAAAGTAGCTTTCTATAGGCGCGTATTTTTTAATCAGTTAACAATTTTAAAATATTTTTTTTTAAGTTTATTCATTACAAACAAAAATCTAAACTTTATAATATTAGTTTATAGATGGACAAAGAAGCTGTACGGTTATAGTTAGTCGGGTCGAATTTGAAACGCCTTTTCCCTAATCCTATCTTTTAACTTATTATTTGATAGTTTCGCGAAATGACTGTTTTATGGACTATCGTAAACTATATTTATAATAATTTAGGCTTAGATTTATTAGAGATTTAGTTCATATTTGTCTTTATAATGAAGACCTTGCTGTTATATAAAATTGATATACTAATTTTAGAGATTAGTTTAGAAAAATGGCGCCCTGAATTCGATTACTGCATAAAATAATATAGTATAAGATATAGCAATTATATCTGTTTTTCTTATTTCTATTGTGAAACAGCAAGCTAACGAATCATTATAATATATATCAACTTTTTAGTGTACACTGCTGAACATAAGCTTTCCCCATAAAAATAGATTTGCCAGTAGTTGCCACGCTTGGCAGGCGGGTTAGCAACTGCAGTTAGCCTTTTAATGAGTAAAAATTTAAGAAATTTTATTTGAATTGTTAAGATTTTGAAGAAGAGGTTTAGTTTGTGAACTGATAGATCCCTCGCATAATAATAACAAGAGGAATAACAAGGGACCGGGCTTTCATTCTTGTATCGTCGATATTTCAATTATTTATAAGGATTCACGTCTTCTTTCCTCTTGCAGGCTGCAAGAGCTTCATTTTTATTTCAATAAACTTAAACTTTTTTCCAAGAAAATTATAACAAATTTATTGAATACAATAATCACTGTATTCAATAATTTCCATAAATTTTATATTAAAAAAAAAATTTACTCAGACGCACCCGCTCTTGCGCCCAAAGGATGAGTTAAACGTCATTTTTGGACTTCTGTTGAAATTTGGAAAGGACGTAGTCTGTCGAGTCATTACTTGAGAAAGTAGACTTTATATTAAATATTTTAAAAAATTTCTTAACAGTCCAATTCATTATTTTAGGGAAAGAAAAATAATATTTAATTAAATTTGATAATATTTTAATAGGAGGTTGTAACTGCTTACAAGACAGCGTGTAGTATCTTATCTTATTATTATCGTAGTAACATATTATTCAATTATGATGCATACATTTATTGACGTACTAGCTTTTACCTGTGACCTCGGCATGTGACTGGGATACGTTGCTAGTCCAGAATAATTACTTGTTGTACTTCTTCTACATAGGCTACTATTTATTCCCAAACAACAGATGTATGGGGGGAAAGGGATTGTTAGTAATGGAGACTGAGAATCCCATTGCTAGCAATATACCCAACCAGGTCGACCACCTCGCGGTTCCCCCTGGAAACTATCATGGTTAATTCCTGATGAATTCATCATGATGGGCTAACTGGCCTGTTTTTTATTCTCATCTATCACCCTTCACTGGTGCTCCGCTAGCGTATCCCGTTAACGCAGGTGAGATTACCATACCATTTACACCCATAAAAAAAACAATAGGTGTATACCAAATTTCGAGACAATTGGTTAAACCTTTGAGGCGCCAAGATATAACAAACAGACAAACTAACTTTATTTTATTTTAACAGGATAGTAATCAGTTTGATGGTAAAAAGTAACCGTGGCTAAAATACAATAGTTTTAATAGAAATTGTAATATAAAATAATAAGAATATTATTAAAATATGAAAATCAAAACACAAAATTTTAAAGCGAGCTGGATTTTTTTTAAGTATCATCGCTCATTTGTAACATAATTGGATTGGGTTACAGCACCCAATATTTTCATAGTTAAAATTTCACCCTTAAAATCGGGACTTAGCATTCAAGGAAACTGTGTGTTGGTAGGTATAACAAGAAAGTATCGAACTATTACACTTACAATTCTCTCCTACTGATAAAATTGTAAAAAAAATGATGTTTGTAGATGGGAAATAATTACGATTTCATTGAATAAGAAATATACATGATGTAAATGTAGTACTGCGCATGTGTAAATATTTAAGGACAAGGGGATATCTACGAAATACCAGGATAGTATAACCATACCAATATACTACAGATCTGAAATTTATAATATATATTTAAATAGATATTTTCCAAAAGAAATTACAGTTTTTTTTTTAATGCTAGAGTGCATAAAAGAGAAAATTAAAATTTGAAAATGATTCTTCCAGCCTAAGTGGGGTATCATATGAAAGGATTTCATTTATAAATTCTGAAACCGTACATAATTCGTTTCGTAGTTTTTTAATTACGACTGTAAATATAAAAAATATCACACCTCTTTTGTTATCTCTAATGTTTTTAAAACGGTAAATTTGAATTAAATACATTTTATAAAGGTAAATGTGAGATTAATGACAAAATTAATTATGGAAATTTAAGGTGTAATAGTTCTTAAATTACAGTTTTAAATTTTTTATAAAAATAAAATATTATATATCTTGTTATATTATGTTCTCTTAGTTACAAAAAGTTCACACTTTTAGCTATGTTCATTGTGAAGTTACAGGAGGTGGAAAATATTAATTGCTGCCAGAAAAGAATTCCCTTGATCCTCCCTCATACAGTAAGTACTTGCAGCAGGTCGAATACGAATAAAATACACCAATATCAGTGTAACGTACCATTACATTTTACAAACGAATGTAACTTGCAATCTGTCCAAATTACCAGGCTGTTATAAATGACAGGAGCATCTAATAATACAATTATTGCTTTCTGTATACTCTAACATTTACCTTGCTCTCAATGTATTAAGATTGAAAATACAATCATAATTTCTACCCAAGGGACCAGTAAAGATTACGATTTCATTCATATAGAAATATAAGAGATGTAAATGTAGCACTGCGCATGTGCAACATTTAAAAACAAAAGGTAATATCAGTAATCAATACAATAAAATTATAACTAGGCAATTACATTGGAAATATTTAATAAAAATTTATATAAGGGGCCTTAATAAGTGAAATAGTAGCCAAAACAATATTTTTTATAAGTTTTAAGTGTCTGTCTGTCTTTTTGTTCCAGCATCATATAAAAACAATTGCATTAAATTGAATGTGGTTTTCAGAGCTGTATTCCTGAAGACCTACTTTAAAATTTGATATAATATATTTTATCTTTGTACGTCATCCAAAAATGGTTTATTTTATTAATTTTACTATTTCAGAAATCGACGTGTACAAGTAGCGGGTAAAGAGCATATATTGTAAATGTACTTAATTTAATATTTAAATTGTAAAAGTGTAAAAGTGTTTTATAGCAAAAAATAGATAAATGTCAGCTGTCACGCGTAACATACTACAATGCACAGATCATAGTTGCTTCGAAATATATATATATATATATATGTATATATATATATATATATATATATATATATATATATATATATATATATATATATATATATATATATATATATATATATATATATATATATCTCTCTTCGAGTGTAAACTGTAGCCTGCCAATTTTTTTCTATTACATTGAGAGCGATGTAAATACGTCACTACTGGTAAACGGAAGCAGGTATTTTCCGCACAATGCAGAGATATTTTTTATTGACTTTACGTTTTTCTCAATTCTGTGCCAATTAAGTACGTCAGTTATTTGTGACGTTTTATCTTTACGTCTATTTTATTACACTTATCGTATTAACGTATATATCGTTTCTTAACACTTACAATATCTACCATAATACGGGGTACAGAATAGTTTTAGTTTCATGTTATTATTTAAGAAAAAATGAGAGAAAAAATATTTATTTAGTGCTTAATTTCACATATAATTGCAAAATTATTTAACAATAAACAAAAATGAAACGAAAAGCACTAAAATGGTGTCACTCAGCCATATGCCATGTTTTGAAACTGATTTTTTATTTATTCAGGGGAAAATTAGACATAATATACAAATCATTTGATTATATTTATATGCAGATTAATTAGGTATATTATATATATTGACTGATCTGTTTACTACTCGTGTGATACGTATTCAGGGTCTGTCCAGGATTATTTATTAAAATATGTCTCATAAGATTAAGTATTTTTGTACGGGTGTTTAATAAACACCATTTTCCTATTAGTACAGGTTCGTCGATAAGCAGATATTGGTTATCGTGAAAATAAAATACGATCTACTTTTGAACTTTTATTGCTTTTTTTGGTTTCTTTAACATAAATAGCATTTATTTTTAAATTAATACAAATTACAATTACAAACGTACAATATGTATTGCACCATTAATAAATAATAATATAAAATAATCTTTTATTTAAACTACTGTACCTAAAATACGGTACATAACGACATTGTTTTAGCGCCGGTGACCTTATAATAGAAAAATATCGAAAAAAAAGCTTATAGAGTGTTTGGTTCCTTTATTTGGTTGTTTTAGCGTTACATTTAAAAAATGGTGGCGGGATGAGCGGTCGGCGATCGGCCATAGTGTGGAGACACGGCAACGTTAGGGCGAGCCTAGCGCCGAGCGCCCGTCCCTACTCGCAAACTCCACAATAGATGATGCCATTACACAATTGAGTTTACTAGCGCCATCTATCGTATAGATCATACATCACTTAACGAACGACTAGGCTTATTATACCCGACCGGAATTGCGCCCCGATATTAACTGGTGAAGAGAAATGCTGGTGTTGGGGGCGAATGGAAGGGCGCTCACTCTGTGCTGAGAGCGCGGGACTCCTGGACCAGATAAACCTGGGAGCCGGGCACTGTTGAGGTGGTGACGAAGGTGCGGTGCTTGGCGCGGATGAGCGACAGGTTGCTTTCAGCGACATCAGCACGGTCCTCGGCAGCTTCGAGCTCACGTTGGAATCGTCGTACCCTCGTTACACTCTGTTGGGAGACACCCTCCTGGAAAACAAGAATGTATGGAACATTAATTTAATAATGCAATTACAAATTAAACATATTTTTGAGTTTTTACCATATAGTTATAATAAAAACAAAGTATTTATCTGAATAAGTCGTATAAGTCAGATTCCGTATGAGACAAATAGATAAAATCAAGTGCTAAAGGCAATCTACCTTATGGAATTAAATCATATGTTTAATATACAAATATACGCCGTAAATTATACCTGTTCAGCCAACTGCCTCTTGTAGATGTTGACCTTCTGGGTAGTCTTCTCCAGGGAGTCTTGCAGCAGAACGATATTCTTCTGGTCTTCCTCACATTGGATCATGACCTCCTTGAGCGAGCGTTCCTTCTTACGGAGGATCTTGATAGTTTCAGCATGTCTCCTCTTTTCTTCATCCAATTCCAATTCCATATCCTTGATGCGGGCTTCCAATTTGCTGATGATGCGTTTGCCACCGACAATGGCATTAGCCTCAACCTCTTCGAGGCGGACGGAGATGTTCTAAAAAAATAAACAAAATGACTTAACCTCTAACTAATAAATATTTCTTATCAGTGTCTATTTATAATGGGATAAAGCCTACTTGTTTCAAAAACTGGGGTCTTATAAGGGATTGGGCCATAATAGATCAATGTAGGTTTTTATTTAATCAACAAAAACAGAATGGTAACTCCGCAAGTATTACTGGTATATCCTGGAAGGGTATCAGTGAGGAATGATAGGTGAGTATAGAAACCAGTCAGTAAACCCATTATGACGAATTTAACAAGAAATAACCACGGTAATTTCTAGGGGAAACCGCTTGAAGGTCAACCTGATAGAATGTATAGCAGCCATTGGGTCGTTAGACATTTCATTACTAACTATTCCTTTAGCTCCGGTCGATGTATGTTCCTCTAGGATAAACTAATATTAATTTAAAATATTTGTATATTAATTTATTCTCCGTTTTCACCAAAATATATGCCGGAATTCTTATTGTCCTTATATATACGAGTATGAAATGTGTCTAAAATTTCATATACTACATAATGCATATTTGTTGGAAACGCAATGTGATACTAATAATAACAGCTAATCTCTGATGAGTGGAATAATAAAGGATATTGAACTGACCTTGACTTCGATTTCAAGGGATTTCTTGACAGCTTCGATCTTCACGATCCTTTCCTGCTCCTCATGCAGATGCTCCACGGTGTGTTTTAGTTCAGTCTGTAAATTTGTAAAATCTTTTGAAATATAACATGACTAATAGTAATTCTTATTTGTAGTGTGATGCCTTTTTAAGCCAAATTATATTTAGTTATATTTAGCTTGGAAAGACTGTATCGCCTGAATACTATAACTATAAATAACTTGATAGTATTTATGAATATAACTGTAAAAATAGATAAAAAGTTTTTCTTAGAATATACAATTAAATTAATTTAAATCAATGTAAGTAATCGTTAATGGCATTAAAGTGGAAGTGTGTGTAAAGTTTTTTTTTTTGCTTCTTTTGGCATCTCAACAGTTAAAAGCAAATTAATATAGTAAATTTGGCATAAAAAGTGCATTTTTTTTATTTTGATCATTCAGTAAGTGCCCGTAAGATAATAAAAATAATTGTTATAATTGGTGATGGTTAAAATGTAATGAATTGATAAATAAACTACTACTAATATTAAAAATCTGAAAATTTGTACAATATTTTTTAATAGTTGTACAATATTAGAATGATATTTAGAATAGAAAAAAGTACACATGTAATGAATTCACCTATAAGATATAATTTTCATTATAATTCATCTACTAACATTCAGCCATTATTAGAATTTTAAACAACTGTAATAAGGAAAATAACTAACCTGAACACGTTGGTATCTTTCGTCAGCGACACGGAGTTCCTTGGTGATTTCGTCATAATCAGCAGCGACCACAGCGAGTTCTTGCTCGATCTTTGCCTTGCTGCTGGACAGGTTCACGTTGATGACCGTCAGTTCGTTGATACGGGTCTGTGCTTCCTCATAGGACTGCTCGACTGTACGTTTAGCACGAAGGGCCTGTAAATGTTCATATTAAAACTTAGTTTGTCATCAAATGCAAGTCTGTTAAGATACATAAACTTTGTTGAAGACATTTCATAATTTTATGCTTTGAACATGACTTTTTAAGATTAATATTAATAATTTTGAAATAAAATAATTTTATTTAATAAATAGAAATTACAAACCTGCTCATAATTGCCACGAATCTCTTCAACTTCGCCAGTGAGAGATTGTATCCTGCGCTGGGCGACGCCGTACTGATCGAGTGTCACCTGGAGTTGTCTTTGGACTTCATCGTAGTGAGTTTGGATCTCTGTGAGCTGATGAAATAAATTATATTATTATTTTCTTTCGATGTATGGCATGAGTTGAGAACATTTATCAGTTCAAAATATTACCTGCAGTGACTGTTTCTTGATGGTCTTCTGCAAATCAATGTTGGTCTTGTTGGCGACATCAAGAGAAAGTTCAAGTTCAGTGATTTGGATTTGGAGCTTCTTCTTGATGCGGGTAACTTCAGACTTCAGCTTGGTCTCGGCTTCAACAACACGAGCATTCAGTTGTTCGATCTCGATGCTGGTCTGCTTGCTGTAACAAAATTATCTCATAATTTTTAATTTCTTGAAAAACAGTACTTCAGTTATGAAACCTTATTATACCTTCTATCAACTATAACATTCGTATTTAAACTTTCAAATTCCTTTAAAGTCTCTTTTAATTCTTGTAAAGTAATAAGATAAGAGTCGTCTACAATAATTGGCGCTTCCGTTTTTATTCTAACAATACACGTTGTCGGTGAAACTTCACGAATAGTTCTAATGGTTTCTGATACTGTCTCTTCCAATTTATTTTCTAATTTGCTTGATAGAGTTTCTTGCAAAGCTTCGTTCATAATTTTCTTAGATAAGATAGCATAATTACGGTCTACTCTCTTTTTAATATCGGAATCTAGATTTCGAAATTTTCCCTCAGACACATTTTTTCTACTCTCGTCTAATAATACTTGTGCAATGGCTCCAGCTGATTTACCTCTGTACATTAAAGCTTTACTTTTCAATTCTGCACCCACATTTGCTTCAGCTTCATATAACTGGAGTTCCTTTTCTATTTCTGCCATTCTCTTTTTTTGCCTTTCAGCTTTTATTTTTTCTCTATCTATCCTTTTCTTTTTAGTTTTTGTAGAAATACTTTCAACTCCAACATGTTTTGTAACGTTGGCTGCTGCAGCGGTAGCAACAACGGAAAATGGCGTTCTTTTTGTTACATCAAATGTATTGAGATCACGTTTTGCATGTGCGGCGACTTCACGAGATAATTTTGCTACTTCCTGTTCAGAATACGTTTGTACTTTACCAAATTTATATTTATCTAGACCTCTTTCGTTATTCCATGGCAAATGCGGCAAGGTTCTTGGTGCACCATTTTCTTTAGCAGAGATGTAGTCAATCATAGGCTGATAGTAATTAATCCCATAGCCATAATTATCTTCGTAGACAGCAGTAGGAGGTCGCGTCCATTTATTGTAGTTAGGCACCTTAACCGGTGCCATGGCGAGTCAATTAAAAGAATTACTAATAATGATTAATATCGATCGTTTCGAACATGTGGCGGCAGGGCTCGAGGTCGAGAAATTGGGCCAGCGATGAAATCAACGTTGTCTTTTGTACATTTTCGCTAGCACTTATTGCCAAAGGTGTATGTGATCACCGTTAATATTCACCAATCAAATGCGCAGTTATATATAAACAAGTTGTGTGCCAATAAAATTTGAGAGGTATCTAATAAATAATTTTATTTAGAACCTAGATCTCCGCCAGAGAACTTTTAGTTGAAAGTCGGAAACTTTACAATATAGCTAAGATTCTGTGCAGAACCGTAATGACAGGAGATTAGTGGTATAAGCCGTAGAGTATAATAGTTTATATGATATATAAGGAGCTTTAATTGGCTTAGTTCCATTATTGAAACTGTGTCATGGTTGCAATGGTTGAAATCTACCCGCCGCGTACCTTCATGACAGACATCAGTCAACAGGGCTAGGGGAAGTGGGGCATTGGTGTTGAAAGATAGTCTACGTACAGTTCTGGGTTGGAGCTCGTTCAGTGTAGTGCATACAGTTTTATTCATTCTAGCTTCAGCATTTTCCGTGTAATATTCATTTTTATGCTTCTAATACATTTATCACGTAAGTTGACATGTGTTCTTTTGCTGATATTGGTGTATTTATCAATAAATTTTGTATGTGAAGATATAATTTTAAATGGGGGAAAATTATAAAGCGAAAATATATTTCAGTTATGTTGAAAAATAACTTTCTGATATGAAATAGTATTTGTGAGTGAATTCGTTCACTTTATGTGTATAATGAATATTAACTATATATTTTAAGTTCTGCTTTACATTTTGTTTCCATGAAAGTGTACTAACCGGATGGCTTCAATCTCTTCATCCTTCTCCTGGAGACGGCGTTCGGCCTCATGACGGAACTGGCCCAATTCAGCCGTCAGCCTCTGCGCACGCTGCTCCTCAGCTTTGCGGCCCTAAGTACAATATTTTTTTTTAATAGTAAGTGGTACGAAAGAAACAGTGTTATTGATTATAATTTTTAATTTATATGTGTGTGTTTAATTTATATCTTTAATGTGATTGATTTATTAAAAATTACCATCCAAATTATATTTAGTATTAGTCATTATTTTCAAATAAAATTTCCATTTTATATAATTATTTATTTTAATTTTTTTTAATTATTAATTATATGAACAGAAGAAGCAGTGACTGCAACTTCGAATGTAATGGTATGGTAAATGATATTCTGAATACTAGAATGAAAATATTGTTAGAAGTTGTTTGTATAAGAAAACATTGCCGGAATCAAGGTAAGTATATTGAATAATTTAATTAAATTGTATGCTTTTGCGATTGTACGCTGTTATCTATTATCTATTAATAGTAATAAAGGAGCGAACTAGAAGAAATAAACGAGTAGCGAAGGAGCGAATAGTCTATCTAGTGGAAAATATATTGTGGCCTGAATAGCGCCTATCGGTATAAACAGTACTGTAACCATTACAGATTTTACTTTAACATATATCATCGTATTATATTGTCATAGCATCTTTAATATTTGCTACATCAAAGTGCATGCAACATTTCATGGAAAACCGGCGATATTTAAAAAGAGTAGAATAAATTATCATTATGTACACATAAGTACCAAGTAAATTTATGCACTGTACTAGCAATTGTAAGAACTTTTGCTGAGCGGGTAAATTTTATCATGTTGAATGTTATACCTAGTTTTAATAATAACAACTTATTTAGAGTTATCTTCTTACAATTGTTCTTTTAGAATAGAATATATTATTTTTAAATCTTTCTGCAATAGTTGATTAGTGATATATAGTCTGAAGTTATTGGGCCATCCTGATTTTTAAATCCTTGATCAGTTTAAATACAAATTGTATGTTTGAAAAATGTATTACTTTAATTAGAGATCCTTAGTCAAGTGACGTGGGTAAAACAGTTGCACCTAAATAGTAATATGTAATAATATTCTCGTCGGATAAAAAAGACGTAAACAATTTTATATGGCATATATATACGTATACTGCGCGAGTTGGTATACACTGACCTACATTCAGAAATCCTAAATACATGTTGAAATTAAATACATATAAACATAAATAATTTTTTTTTTTGTGCAATCAATAACAGTGCGTACCTATACTCGTCCTCGATTTATAAATAAAATTCTATTTTTATTTGTACGGAAATCTGGCATGGCTTTGCAACATCAGTAAATTTTATTTAATATCCGAATGCATGCCAACTTGTTACTAGCAACAAAATTAATATTCACATTATAGGTAGTTAAAATACTTGCTTGTAGTGATATGAATTTTTACACATAAATTGAATTAATAATGACAATGTAATCTTTCAAATTGTAAAATAATTTCAACATAATTTCAAACATGCAATATGTATGTCACCCTGAAGATATCAATTTTCTACACTTTAAAATGATAGTACCTATTTACGATAATTAATTATTATATTTAAATTTTTGTAATGAATGTGAAAGTAAAAAATTGTCTGATGATGATGATAATGATGAATCTCTTGTATACTAGATACTCACGGCCTCAGCTTCCTTGTAGGCGGCGGTGAGTTCCTCTCGCTCGTTCTCAAGACGGCGCAGCTCGATCTCGAGCTCGTGAAGACGGCGGTTCAACTCCGTGAGGTTGGCACGGGCATCGTGCAATTCATCTAGAAAACAAAGTTCATCATTCATCATCATCTTTCATCACTATCGTTTCATTCATTAATTATCTACTGTCAAACATAGGCTTATATAAATATAATATGTCTATAGAGCCATAGAAGCTATAGGTATAAGAAAAGGACTTGAGCCACGTGCATGCAATGACTCACTGCAATGCATTTGTTATATTCGTGATATACAATAATTGCATGCGCTTTCCCTGTGTTCGCCAAGTTTCAAGATATTACATGTATATCAAAAATTTTTACTAATATTTTAAATAAAGTGACTTGGTTCTGTTACCTCTTGGTGTCTCAATGGCTCAACTAATTACTATGAAATTTGGAATGCAGGTACTATACGGGACAAAGAAGGGAAAATGCTTATTTTATCCCAGTTAGTGAACATAACCCGATCATTCACGAAATCACGGCTAAAAGTTAGTATCGATATAAACATTTTAATAGTTCATAATAGTTTCAATAATAGTTTCTAGGCCGTCTTGTTTATATATGAAGGCCTCTGACGTAGTATACTAGACGACGTTTTACGTGTTCTTCGAAGCACGGAACAATATTTTTTTAAATGGTACAAACAGTTATAAAAATATATTAGGATTTAGAATTAACACATACCACCCAGCTTTTTGTTCTCGCGGCCAAGGGCGTCCTTTTGCTCACGGGTCTTGTCGAGCTCGTGCGAGACGCGCTGCAGCTCGGTTTGCTTGTTGCGCAGGTCACGCTGCGACACCTCGTACAACTGCACCGTCTCCTCCAACCGCGACTTGATCTCGATGTTGACGCGTTCCAACTGTTCCGTCCTCTTTTGAAGCTCCCTAGCTGTGCCGTTGGCCTTCTCCAGGTCGATGATGAGGACCTCTACCTACAAAAAACATAAATAATTACAATTAATGAAGTAATTAAAAATCACTGCCATATAATAAGTGCCATACGATATTACTGACCGCCTGTTTTATAAGCTTGAATAATAAAATAAATAATAATAATACAGGATGTATTATTCGGAACCAGGCAACGAAAATCTGGAGGCACGTCCCAATACTCTTAGATCTGAGACAGGAAACAGGAAAGTTCTTTTTTTAAGTTGGCCCCTTTGAAAATCTAACGCGAGACTTCGTATATAGAAAAAAACATGCTTACTACTATGCTAGTAAGGTCGCCTGAAAGTAACTAATTTACTTGTAACAATATTTAAACTTTATTGTCGATTAACTTTTACACATGTTACTAATTTGCTTGGGATAATTTTATCTAGTGGGGTATATTAAAATATGTCGTTGATAGTAATGAAGAATTATTCTGATTGGAATGTCCCGAAATCACAAGGCTTATAATAGTCACTGTGACGAAAAAAAATGGTACAATTAAAAGCGATAAGATGTCTCTTAAATCACTGTCATTTTGTAATTATTTATAAATAATGAATGTGTCTTTTAACGATAGTATAGCACTTGATAAAAATTATTTTCTTCATCAAAAATTACGTTGATGGGACAATTACAATTTTATAATGAATATTTTTCAAGTCAAAATAAATGCAACATTTGTTTTTTTTTTATATATTACCTCACTTTGCAGACGAGACTTCTGCTTTTCAATGTTGCTGATCTTGGCGATAAGTGTCTCAATTTGTTCTTCTTGTTCCTGGATGCGGGCGGAGTATTTACGACGGATCTCCTCAATCTCCTCAGCCCTAGCGGCGGCTTCAGATTCGTACTTGACTCGCCAGTGCTGGACCTCACCATTGGCCTTGACAAGCTGACGCTCCAGGTCCAAACGAGCCTCAGACTCCTCCTCGAGTTGTACACGAACGGACTCCAGATCAATCTCAACCTGGAATATAAAGAATTTCATTAAAAATGGGAAGTGTCACACAAAACAATAAAGAACGATCATATATAGGTTAAAAAAAAATACAGTGAATATCTCACCTGGTGAAGGTTGGCTTCGAGCAAAGAACGCCTCCTGTCCTCATCCTCAAGCCTGCGGCGGGAGTCTTCGAGCTGGCTGGCCAACTGGCTCTTAAGGTATACTACGTTTTCAATGTTCACCTAAAAACGACCTTGTGATTAGAGTTAGGTAAAATTGAAATGGATGTACTTGAGTATTTAATTTACACAATACTCCTATAGTGTGTAAACTAAACACGCATAAGTTTAAAAATTGGTTTAAAAGAAATTTGTAGTGTTAATTAATATTAAGAATTGATATTATAATTGTTACAATGTTATAAATAATTACCTTAAGATCTTGGACTTCCTTAATGAGCTCGACATTCTCCTGAGATAGTCGTTGCTTGTGGGAAGTGATATCCACAATTGTTCTGTTCAGCTCCTCGATTTTGATGTGCAGCTCGCTAATGCTGATCTCCAATTTCTCGCATGTCTTTGAGATAGTGATCTTTTCTTTGGTCACATTTTCCACTTGGGCCAACAGCTCGTAAACTTCAGCTTGGAACTTGGATTTTTCTTTCTCGCTCCTATTGACAAAGAAACATTTCGTGCCATCACAAGATAATAATAAAATTATAATGATATCGATGGAAAGATTAAAGAATCATTGCATCGATGACTTCTAGTAGACGCACAGCATTACTCGCAAAAGAAGATTGTTCGCACAGCATAATCTAAACGTACACAAAACAGGTACACGATGTATTAGTTTACGATGATGAAATGTGTCAAATACAATGAGAGCAAACGTGATCTCACCTGGCTTTGCTTTTGGTAAGCTGGTCGATTTGTTCCTGGAAATCGTTGACAATCTCTTGGTGCTTCTTCTTGAGCAAGTGGGCGGTCTCCTCGGACTCCAGGTGGACATCTTCCAGTAGTTTGCGGAGCTTGGTGAGTTCGGTGTCGCGTTTTCTGTTGATCTCGAACTGAAAAATGTACAGATTCATTTCAAAAATGCGACCCCATCCATGCCAGGGGTGTATATTTGAAATATTATAAAAAATATATGTTAAAACAAGATTTTTTAAACACTAAATTCTACATAATTGTGTTTCGTGATTATTTCTAACATGGATGTTATATGTTTATTTTTTCCTGTGAAATAAACAAAATTAATTCATTCAATCGCATAGCCAAATAAATCGCACTTGCAATATA